TCCACTGTATTAAGATTCACCAATATAGCACTTTTGGCATGAGCTCTGAAGTGGTGGTAAACAATTATTTACAAGGTGGAAACTTCAGAGACTTCCCTTTGGAAAATTTTTTTGCTTTCTACTAAATAAAAAGAGGAACTTTGCTACTGCATTTGCTGCACTTAGTTCTCAGTCCAAGAATTATTTTAGGTCCAAGTAACAAACCAGAGAAAAGTAACTTATAACCTTATGTATAAAATATATAAATCATGACCTTCAAGCCCTGGATAGCCAAGGAATACTGCAAATTCTTACTCTGAGTCTGTTTTACAGCACTAGAGCTCCAGGCAAGACTTTATCATTAACAACAGAGCACACAGTGTCCCCTCTGGGGAGCCAATCCAACACTCGGATGCAACGCTTGATTGGGATTAAGATTGTGTTAACAACCCAACAGATTAACACACTCTGTAATGTGCTTGTAACAACAAATAAATTACAAATACCCGTTTTTAGAAATCACTCTGACAAATGAGACCTAAGTTCTCAACACAGCTGCAACTTCACTGGATGTAATATTAAACTTTGATGTCTTTGGGATGACTAATCCATTGGAGGAACAGTGCCCTGCGTGTAATTATGGCCACACAGAGCAAAGTACTTCTGACAAGTACAGCACAACAGCGGCGTCTCGTTTCAAAGACCGGAGCTCTGTTAAGCTGGTCAATATAAAAACACGAGTTCTGTTTGTCTCCAAGGTCATAAATCCAAGCAGCACAGACTTGCAGGGCAGTTAGAAGAGCACTAAGTGTGTAACATTAATGCAGCCACTTCCAAACCCACTGCAGGGACCCGTGTCCTGCACCTGAGCGTCTCAAAAGTGCCCCGTGTGAGGTTACAGCACGACACCAGTCACATTTGGTTCCAGTCTCAGGACTTTCTGCAGCTTTCAAGCACATTTAGAAAAAATAAAAGCAACTTCAAGCTACATTCTACAAGATAAACAACAGTTGCACTTTGCTCAGAACACATGTTTTGGCACACAGTTATTTAAAAGCAGTTTTTCCACAGTACGAGCTTTTCTCCATGCACACAAACATTTTACATGCAGTTCTACATCACATTTGCTCGTCAGAAATTCAAAAGAAAATACGCTTGTCCAAAACACTTATTTAGCTTTTTCTTACTTCTCAGCATTAGAAATACCACCTCTAGTTGACTACATGTCTCATAAAAAGAAAATTCCAATGCAATTCCCAGTTCTGCAAACAGGTACATAGAAGGGACTGCTTACATCGTAATTGGTGTAAATTTACAAATTCAAGATTTCTGTACCCTTGTTTTACTATGAATTCAAACTGCAATTATACAGAGCCAGAAAGTGGAACTAAGAACCCAAAACTGGTTAAGAAAGAAAGCAAAGCCTACACAAACTACCCCAGATGTGTGTGCGGGTTAAGAGCTTCAGTTAACAGAAAAACTAGACTAGAAAAGAAAGTACAGCAGCCTGAGTCTTTCAGTTCTGGGTTGTGTGTGAGAAACTAACTACAGCCTAAGTGTTAGCTTCAGTAAAAAAATTAAAAAAAAAAAAAAAAAAAAAAAAAAAGGTTAAGCTAGTATTCTAAAAACCTGGACAGCAAAGAAAAAAGCTTATAACAAGATACAGGAGTTTCTTCCAAATGGTTCACCAGCGGCCAACCTGTTAGTCCCCCGGTTCCAGTGACCTATTCTCAGAGCACTGGCTTCTCCTTGGGGATTTTCGATACTTCACTCACTGTTGCCATGACGACAGCTTCATCTTTATGTACCACTCCACATCACCCAGGCTTTGGTAAATGTAGCTGGTCGCTGTATAGTCGGTTGCAAGGGAAAAAAGAGTTGAAGTTAATAACGTGTACATGTGACGGAACTGTCAGCTTGTAAAAAGCACAGAAAAACGTTTACATCCTGCTTGCTAAAAACAAAAAAAAAAAAGGGGGGGTGTGCAAGTCTGAATGTCAGACTGCAGCATTTTAAGGTTCGTTTCATGCAGATTCACTCAGAATCGCAGAGCAACAATACCCATTTCTCCCGAAAATAATGGGTAGCAGTGCACGAGTTCTCTGGACATGATGCACTTTAGACACCATGTAACATGCACAAGGTGGGATTTGGAACAGGCTAGCTGGAAAGATTTAAATTCACAGGTTAAGTTCAGTTTCTCTGATCCTTCACACAGCACAAAGAAACAGCTAATTCATATTCTCATTGCAGAGACAAGCAAGGCATATGATTAATTAACCTTCACTGCCTGGATCGAGGCCAAAACATTACTAATCACTGAACCTGCTCCAATAATTCCAATACCAGACTCCCTTATCAGAACTGTGGAAGACAGTCCCACTGAACTCACACCCCACACCATTTCTCACAATTCCCTCAGGGCTCTAACAACCTAAACACCAAAACCAACAAAGCTCAGTCCCAAAGTGTGACACTGACCCTTTCTTCTTGGATCTACAACTAACTTGGGAAAAATGAGCATGAGGCAGTACAAGCCAAAGCTTTGGCTGCAACAGAAGCATAACCAGATAAAGACACCAACAAAGAGCTGGTTTCCCTAACAGATTTCTACTGTTTCTCAGAAAAGGTTACACCACATGGAAGGTTCAATTCCTGCTGTACCCTGGTGACACAGGGCAGAGAAATAAAGCACGAATTTAATAATCCAGCCAAAAACAAAATCCTGTTGTAGCTACAGAGTTCCTTAAACTTTGGGCAATCAGCCACTGAAAGCAAAGCTGAAGCCTCCAATCCCAGACTATAACTCTGCTGCCCGACAGAATTAAGGAGATTTTGTGTTTAACAGCAACTTAGGGAACTCCTCCAACCACTCCTTGTTCCTCTCACTACTTTGTTATCTGCTTTACCCAAGAACAAACATCGCTCTACACACAGAAAGCAGCACTGGTCTCTCACAGCTCTGCAACACCTGCCCCTGCCCAGGCACCAGGACAACACCACTCCCACGTTGTGCATTAGAGATGTTAAAGATGCCTCCAGCCTCCCAGACTCGGTTACACACTACTCCTCATTAAAGCTGCACACACTACAGGCCAAGCCAGACCTTACTGCAGGTATCTTCTACAATGGCTTTTTTTCTAGAAGATAATAACTGCCGTCACCAGAAATTCGACTTCTTTTCTTAACTGATGCTTAATTGGCACCAAAACCACACTTAGAGGTCACACACCAACGACAGAAAAGCATTAAGACTACTGAATATTGCTAAAAATCTGGAGAATACACAGCAATCCACTACTGGCCACTCGCATCTAAGACTACCTTTCAATAACTGCAAGACAACAAAAATATCAATCAACCAACCAAAAGCTACAACCATGAGCCTAAAACTAGGACCAATACTCGTGACTTGCAGCCAAATAAGGAACAGAAATGGGTCTACCAAGTGAACAAAAGCAGAAGAAGTCGGGATTGCACTGTACTGCCTACAGAGCAGCCAACGAGCACTCCCTTCCCAACTTTAGGTCGTTGAACTTAGCCTGGAAAAATACTGTGAATCGAACACTGCAGTACATTAGCGGTAACAGGTGTTTACGTTCGTAACGAAGCTGATCTTACCTTTTTGCTCTTAACTGTCTCAAGTGATGGAACACGTTGATCACGTCCCTTATCCGACGAGGCGCCTCCTCGATTTTGGACGCGAGATTGATGCAGGCCATGGCAACAATCTGAAAGAAAGGCCCGTTTCCGTTAAGAAAACAATATTTAACCCCGCTACGACTAAAATTACACAAGAAGCAAACCCGCGAGGCCCGAGGCGAGCAGCCGGTCCCACACAACCCCCCCCGCCTCGGTGCCCCGCGCCGCGCTCACCTCAAAGCTGTGCTTGACGAAGGACTTGGAGTAGAAGAAGCGATGGAACAGCACCTGCCCGGTCGCCATGGCCACCTGTGAGGGCAGAGGGAGGCGCAGAGGGAGCCGATCAGTGCCCGGCCCGGCCGCCGCCATTTTGTGCGGCCCCGCCGCCCCCCCGCCCTTCCCGCCGCCACAATGGCGCCGCCCGCCCTGCCCTTCCCTTCCCTCTTCCCTTCCCTCCCGCTGGAAGCGCCGGGAGGCCCCACCTGCGGCAGCCGCAGCAGGATGCCGGCCGCCTGGATGAGCTCGCAGCCCAGGATGCGCAGGTCGGTCTCGCACTGCAGGTCCAGCCCGTCCTGCATGGAGGGGGTGGGCGAGAGCCGCTCCTCGGGGATCAGCGAGTGGTCGATGGTGAGCGACACCTCGGAGTAGAGGCGGTCTCCGATGAGGATGCCGGCGGGCGCGGGGGGCGGCGGGTTGGGGGCGGCGGGCGCGGCGGCGGCGGGGTGCGCGGCGGCCATGGCGCAGCGGCGGCAGCGGCGGGCCGGCTCTGCTCGGCGGGGCGGCCGCGCGCGGACTGCGGGCACCCCGTGACGCGGCCGCAGCGCCGCCCGCGCGGGGACTCACGGGAAAAAAGAGTCCGCGCCGCACGCCCCGCCCCCCGCGGGCAGCGGGAGGGGGAACGGGAACCGGGAATGGGGATGGGAATAGGGATGGGATCGGGAGTGGGGATGGGAGCCGGAATAGGAACCGGGAACGGGAAATTGGAACTGGGAGAGGGAACGGGAATGGGAACCGGGAAAGAGAATGGGGACCGGGAATGGGACAGGAAGAGGGGATGGGAATGGGAACCGGGAAAGAGACAGGAACAGAGGGAACGGGAAGGGGAATGGGGACGTGACTGAGAATCGGCTGGGGTTGTCCCGGCACCGGGAACAGGAACCGGGAACGGCAAAGGGAAGGGGCCGGCTCTGCCCCGGGACCGGGACTGGGACCCGGCCGGGCTGTCCCTGGAAAAACCTTTAAACCAGGGAAAAATAGCGGAGCGGGAAAGACACGGGCTACGCCGGGTTTGATGACGGAGTGACAGGGGGCTGGGGCTGAAAGGGGCCGTTTAAGGTCAGTGCAGCCCAACCCCCGCCAGGGGCGGGACAGCGCAGAGAATGTGTCAAATAAACGCCATACAGGGAGTTAACGTGGCTCGGGCCCTGCGTTCAGCGCTGCCCTCGGCCTTTGGGCGCCTGGAACACGGCACAGGAAAGCCGCGAATTCGAGTAAAAACCAGGGATTGCGGTGCAGTCCGCGCAGGAGGAGGCCGCGCCTTCCCAGGCGGGGGGCGTTCTCCAGGGAAAAGTCACCTCCGGCTTCATTTATCAAGGAAGAACGCAAAAAAGAGGTCAAACAGCTCCCGCAGTTCAAGCCGCTGTAGATAATAAATGTATAATTAAAGACTGGATAAACATTTCCACACGGAGCAGCCTCCCCCTCCCGGCGGGACGCGCGGAAGGGCACAGCGGCGTGCGGCCGCTGTCAGCAGGCTCGGCGCGCCCAGACGGCGCCGGGGGCGGCTCAGCGCTCCCCGCCAGGCCTGGCTGTCGCGTTTTCCCCGCTGTCGCGTTTCCCCCGCTGTCGTGACTCCCCTCCCACTGTCGTGACTACCCCCCGCTGTCGTGACTACCCCCCGCTGTCGCCGCCACGCGGGACAAACGACCGGGAAACTCCCAGCGGTTGCGTCACTTCTGGGACCGGCCGCATCACACTCGCGCCGCGCGCCCCGGATCCCTCCGCAGCCGTCACCGCACGCGCGCTGACCGGGAACTCCCGCCCCCCGCGGGCAGTGCCGGCCTCTGATTGGCTCGCGGGGTTTGAGTGGCAGGGCCGCCCCGCGGCCGTGCCCGCCATGTTGTGTGGGGAGCGGGCGGCGGCCCCGCCGCGCCCCTGTGTCCCGGCGGTGTCCCCGGGCACAGAGTTCATTGGGTGCGAAAAGAGCTCTGAGACCTTCCAGTCCACCCTGTGCCCCATCCCCACCTTGTCCCCCAGCCCAGAGCACTGAGTGCCACGGCCAGGCCTTCCTTGGACTCTTCCAGGGGTGGGGACTCCAAACCTCCCTGGGCAGTCCCTTCCAATGCCTGACCACCCCTTCCAGCGAGAAATTCCTCCTGATGTCCCACCTGAGCCTCCCCTGGCACAGCTGAGGCCGTTCCCTCTCCTCCTGTCCCTTGTTCCCTGGGAGCAGAGCCCGACCCCCCCCGGCTCTCCCCTCCTGTCAGGGAGTTGCAGAGCCAGAAGGTCCCCCCTGAGCCCCCTTTTCTCCAGGCTGAGCCCTCCCAGCTCCCTCAGCTGCTCCTGCTGCTCCAGCCCCTTCCCAGCTCCGTTCCCTTCCCTGCACACGCTCCAGCCCCTCAATGTCCTTCCTGAACTGAGGAAGCCAGTTCCCAGCACTGGACACCCACCCGAGGTGCCCCTCACAGTCCCCACGCAGGGACAGTCCCTCTCCTGCGATGGCCAAACTGCTCCCTCACGGTGCATTGTCCCGGCAGTGACTCCCCAGAGAGCTGTGGGACTGCTAGCCCAGAAAAGACACCGTGACTGTGCCACAGTGGGACACCTCAGAGAGGGAATCCCACCGGATCTGCCAGAGGAGACACCTCACTCTGACAATTCAGTGTGTGTGCATGGATTGTCACTCAGATGGGCTCTGACCTTGGGGACACACCGAGAGCTCTGCAGGTCCAAGTGCTGCACAGGACACAGGAAAGATTGATTATTTTATTCCAGGTTGTCCAGGATGAACAAACCTGCTGGGAACAGAGGTGTGAGGCTGCCAAACCCCCATGGACCTGGTATCATCATTAATAGAGCAGAGGGTCATGGTGGTTCACTGCTGCCAGGTGGTTGTGCCAAGCAAGATGAAGATAAAAGCATCTGTAGAGATACAAATCCAATATTTTTAGCCTCTGTCTCCCAGGCTTCCACAGGAACAGCTGTGGTGGAGGAGGCTGAGCTGCTTCTGCGCCTTCTTCCTACTCATGGGGTGTGGCCCCTTATTTTGTGTCATGGTTACAATTGTTAATAAACTTCCTTAGTTTTACAAACAACTCTTTTAGAAATATCACCAATCCCACAGCGTTTGTTTTATAGTCTTCCTTTCCATGTATAGTTTGGGGCTTGAGAGTCTGTAACCACCACCAAAACAGTGTTTTTAATGGAAATACAGCATTTAATTGGGAGCTGCTGTATGTGCAGGTTCATGAATCGGCAGGTATTTGGAAGGGAATCCAGGTATTTGGGAGAGCTCACCCTCTTTTCCTGGTCCTTTGCCAAACTCCCCCCTTTAGCCATGTACTGTACAATCCCTGAGATTTTAAAAATTATTTCCAACCTGGAACACCACTGGCCTTTTAGGAACCTGCACTAGCCTTTGGTGTTGTGCTAACACAGCCAAGAAAAATCCAGTGAACCCACAAGGCTGGTACCAAACCCCTCTGCAATGGCAAAAGCAATTTACAGCCCACGGAATGGACAGAAGGTTAAAGAAACAGTAGTGAAAAGGAGAGTTGGGAAAAGCTGACTCAGTTCTCCAACCCTCAGATTACCCTGAAGTGAAAATCCTGGGTTACGTGGTATTTGCAGAAGGCAAACAGCTCTTTCCATTTTCCTCCCAGCGTTGCCAGACGGGCAGGGAAGGAGCACAAACGAGTCATGGAAGCAGCAGGTGACACTCAGTGCACTGGAATTTGCCCACTTTTTTTATTTCCATGCACACACCCATCATTTCTTGGGTTTGCTTTGCTCCAGTTTTCCAGGTTACGCTCTGATATTTTAAAAACCCGGAGAGAAGTGCGTTTGCTCAACCTGCCCGACCGTTCTTCCCAGTTCCGGATGGTTTTATGGGTCTATTTTTGAATTCAGTGAAGTCAAGCAATGCTGTCCCCTCGCAGCAGGATCAGATCGTGCTTCGTTGCCAGGACACTGCTGGCAAGCATCAATCAATAATTGCTGCTTGAGTCCTGAGGAGGCACTCACGAGCCTGATTCCCTTGGAGCCCTTTGGCCTGGAATTGTACAATCCAAATCCATGGAAGCTCCTTCCTTAAACCAGTTGCACACAGGTGTAAACTGATTTTGTTCTTCCAGGTGTCTCACTGCAGGCAGGGACTCCAAAGCTGAGTGATAAAACATGGAAAAAAAGGAAACACCTTGTGGAAAGGGAGTTCTGGATATCCCAAAACCTCTCTCCTAGTGAGTAGTGAGACCTCCTCAGTGCCTAAATCCTGAGGACTTTACAGGCTTGGCAGCAACTGTTTCCCAGAAGAAAATTCCAACCCAGTTTCTCAGCAAAGAAGTGCAGATTACAACATGCAATTACCTTAACAGAAAAGAAAGGATTATTTTGGGAAAATAAGAATTTGTGATGACAGAAAAATCTGATTTCCTTGAAGAATGATGGATGTAAGAAAACAACGTGACAAGAGGCTTAGCAGGAAAATATTTTGACGTGAGCAGATATCCAAAATTTTCTGCTGTCACATCAAATAGACCAGGCTAAGACAATGCAGAACATGCTTAGATCAATTTATTCATTAAATTCTAAAATCTCTAAAGTAAAAAAATTAGTTGAAAATTGTTTGTTTGGTTTTTATAAAATCCATTTATAAATCCATTTTATAAGAATCACTTAGGAGATGGACTGCAGTCCTTCATGCTGAACGTGATAAATTGAGAATCTGGAATTACCTGCCATCTCAGGGATAAAAATCTGCATTATTGGCTCTGACAGGATTTCTGATTGCACGTACGGGTCGAGTGCTGGGTTTGCATTGGTATAAAGGAGTTTGCTGCCAAAAACCTTGGCAGTGGGATTTATCCCCGCTGGACAAACAGGGTTTTACTCTGCCACATTACGACTTGAGGAGGAATTCCTTGGATACTTCTGTGAAAGATTTATAGAGACTCCAGTTCTGGGGTCTAGAACAGCTCAGAGGGACAAGGAGGATTATTTGAAATTGTCCCCAGAGGGTGAGTTCTTCAAACTCTTCCTCGCTGGTTCTGAAAGAGAAAAGAGGAATTGGGCAGGAGTTCCGCCCTGCACTTTGCACCCTGAGTAACAGGCTGTGAAACCACCGTGGGTGGGAGTGCACTGGGCTACAAGTGCTTCTCTGTTTCAGCTCAACTGATTCTTCACCTTCCACTCCCCAAATCCCTCCCTCCCTCCCTCCCTCGGTTTCAGTGGCATTTCTCTGGCCACACTCGTTTCTTATTTACTCCAGTGAAGGTACAGCTGGTGTTTGGCTCGAAGTCCTTATCAAGAGAAGATGAAAACATTCTTCCTGTATGAAAGCAAACCTGTTTTCAATCATTCTGTCATCTAGAATGTAAAATACACTCCTGAACTGGAAGATTCGTACTCTTCAAACCTCATACTCAAGGTGCAATACTTCTTCCCTCTTGTTTTCTCAGTAAATCTGCATTTCTGTAAGTGTTTTATAGGATTTCTCAGAAGACCTAATGCCTAATGAAGCCTGTTTCTCTCAGTTATTGGGTTTATGGACTTGGGACTTCAAGTTTGGCGTCACAACTCACACAAATTGCTTCACCTTCCATCAAAGCAGTGTAAGGCTTTGGGAAAATAAGGAGTACTCACCACATGAGTTTATTCTACACACTGATGTTCACCAGCTCACCTATTTGCAAAGGTAATATTGATATAAATAAATATATGGTAGTTTGATGCATTTAGAAATTAAAGTCATTTAAGTTCAAACCTGTTTTCCAGCACATATAAAACTCATCCCTGTTTTTCTCATTGAGACACATTGGTGTGTGTGTGTCAGGAAAAAACACGTGGGATTTGATTTATTGGACCTTATCAAGTCTCACTGAGCTGCAGGTCAGTGGGAGCCCATCCCACCTTTGCTATAAATTGCTCTGAGAAACAGAAGCTGATCAATGTGTCCATCTGAGTCATGAACAGGTTCTGAGACAGGGCAGGGCTGTGACAGCTCTGTCACCACGGGGACAGCGAGTCCTTCCCAGCCAGGACATCACCCCTGGAGCAGGGGAACCCTGACCTGGCAGCAGCACCTCGAGGGTGAAAAGGTTGTGTGTGTTTTCTGCTGTGCCTCGGGCTTGGCCCAGCACTGTTTGGTAATACCCCAAAATGGGAAGGTGTTCCATGAACAAACAGGCTGTTCCTTGTCCCTGAGGTGGCACAGCCCCCATCCCTTGGGACAGCCAGTTCCTGGAGGGTCAGTAACACTTCTGGACAGCTCTGGGAACACACAACCAGCCTTGCTGTCATCCCCACCAGCAGGTCACCACACACTTTAAATCAGATCCGTCCTGGAGGAGCTACCACAGATCTGATATTCCCATCTGGAGGTCAGAAACTGGGAAAACAGCAACTGGGAGAGGATGATGCTGAGCATAGCCCAGGTTCCCCAGACTCACAGCACAGCCCCTGCTTTGGCGAGAGGTTCTTACACCCTGTGCCATCGTGACAGTAAAGGATCTGACCTGGGAATGTGCCTGAGTTCGTCCTTCTCATGCAGTCATGGTTCTCCCAGCTCTCTCCCAGCTGGGAGCACAGGTCAGGGTGTTACCCTGGAGTCAGTGCCAGCAGAGCTGCCAGCACTGAGGGAAGCACCGAGGGGATGGAAAAGAACAGGCTGTATCCTGCCAGGCTCACATCAGGGACAGATATAGCCCTGGTTCAGGCAGGAGGACATTTGTCACTATGGGGAGAGGCCTGAATTATTTTTAGGGCTTACATCACTGCAGCTTTGAAGGACAGAAGAAGAGAGATGAGGCTGCTTGGCTGGCCAGGGCTCACCCTGCTGTCATGGGGCAGTGACCTGGGAGCCAGGGAGTGTGTGCATGGACAAACCAGCACGGAAAAACCACCTCTGGGATCCAAGGAGTGTGTGCCAGCACAGACAAGGCACCAAGGGCAGTGTCTGGGTTGTCATTCCTGTGACACTGCAAACCTCAGCGTGACACGTGCCACCCTCACCCTGCCCAGCAGGCACAGCCCGACCAGTGGTTGAGCATTCCCAAGTCAAATCTCTTTAAGATGCAACAGCTTTACCCAGGAATTTCCTAACTGTTCAGGCCATGGGGAGCCTTGTGGAGTTTCCTGCCCACCCAGGCTGTGGCAGGAACCCTGGTACAGCCAAGGAGACCTTCCACCCCACATCACCTCTCTCTGCAGCAGGAGCTACAGGAGACTTTCCCCCCCGACTGCAGCGTTTCCACGAGCCTGGCTGGTCTCCTGGGGCTGGGGCAGCTCTGGGGGGTGTTTGTGAGCCCCAAAGAGCTCCGTGCTACAGCACTGAGGCCACAGGACCACATCCTGCTCTGGGGACAGGCTGGGGGTGGCCGTCACCTCACTGCTCTGCCAGCTGGAGGAGGAGCCCTTTGTGTATAGAAAAATAAAAAAACTGCTTTTAAGATCAAACAAATGATTACTGCTGTCATCCAAATACTATAATGCCAGTTGGAAAAGCAAGGAGAGCACAGGGCAGAGAAATAGTAGAGCTGGGGGTGAGTTAGACATGTCAGCTGGCCCCTTCTCTCCCTGTGGGAATTCCTGTAATGGTCTGTGAGCTGTTCAAGCATTTCTTCATAGCTTTACAAGCTTGTTCTGCTTTTAAAGCATTTTCAAGTGTCTCAACCTCAAGAGGTCTTTTATGCTGTTTTTTCCTCCCCAGGGAATGATTCAAAGCAGAAAGATCAGGTCCATCAGGTCCTTCCCTCTTCACCTCTACTCCTCTGTCAGGGACATTATTTCTCTTACAGCATCTCAGTGAAGTCTCCACCAGGCTCTGAGTCAGAGCCAAATTTCCCACAGAAAAATAGCACAACTTCTTCAGGGCTGTGTATCGTGGTAACAAAAGAAAGAGGGTCAATTCAGATTGGATATTGGGAAGGAATTGTTGGCTGGGAGGGTGGGGAGGCCCTGGCACAGGTTGCCCAGAGCAGCTGTGGCTGCCCCATCCCAAGGCCAGGTTGGACGGGGCTTGGAGCAACCTGGGCTAGTGGAAGGTGTCCCTGCCCATGGCAGGGGGTGGGACTGGGTGGGCTTTAAGATCCTTCCAACCCAATTCCATGTAAAAGC